AAAAGATACATGAAATTAATATTATATATATATATAGATAGATAGATACATAAAATCAATACTAGATACCTATAACAAATACATGAAATTAATGCTAGATACTTCTATGATACATATGAATGTACTTGCAGGACACTCATGTATCTAAGTGTTTAGTTTGTTGGATACATCATATATTGATAATAGATACATCAAATTAATGAATTTATTATTTTAAGAGTAATAATTTGAAATTAATCAAATTGCATTACCAAGATATACATGTTTTTATCTTATATTAATAATATTAATGAATTTACTATTTTAAAGAATAATAAAATGAAATTAATTATCTATGTATTTTGAAAATCCTCAATTACTCCTCTAATTAAGGAAATTAGTTCCAAACAATTAATTTAAATAAATAAATTTTGTATCTCAATTTTAAAATTCGATAGATACATGTATCTCATGGATTCAAACTCATGTATCATAAGCATAAAATATGGTACATGAAGTAATAGTTGAAACTATTGGGAATCTTAATAATTAAGACCTAAACTAGTGGGATTTATGTGGTTTGACCTTAAAAAATTCCTAATCAAGTGTATTCAATTATCAATAGATTCCTTTGTTAATTTTTCGGTCACGTAGACGAAATTTATTTATTTATTTATTGGAAAACTTTTTTTTTTCCTTTTCATCTCATGCGTTATGTCCCTATTTAAAACCATTTTCTTACATCAAAAGATCTTGCCTTATACTAAAATTAAAAACTATGCTTATCGAATATGTAAAAATGGTGTCATTATATAATTCACTCAATACAAGACATTTAATATGGCTTTCAGAGAGTCGGGGGCAAAGCTAGAGAGTAGAGGGGTTGAACAAATTTGTTCATTGAAAAATCACAATGTATGTATATATAAGGTCAATTCATATAAATATATAGTAGATAATAAACTCGTTTGTGTCGGAGAGAGTCTTCTAATCTTTTTACCATCCATTGTGTTGTTTAAATATTACTATATTAAAAGACATTATCAATCTGTCATTTTCCCTTTCAGGGTGGCCCAGTGGTTTGGGCTTGGGACTTCCATGTTGGAGGTCTCAAGTTCGAAACCCCTTGCCAGCGAAAGCAAGGGGTTTGCCTTCTGGGTTGAGCTCGTTGCACCAGGATTGCCTAGTGTGGGTTACCTCTCCTATGTGGTTTGCGAGCTATTGCATAGGAGCGAGGGTTTTACCCTGTGCGCACCCAAAGGGTAGCGACTGCAGGTTTCCCTTGTCATAAAAAAAAAAAAATCATTTTACAAATGTTAATCTTTTGCTACTATGGAAACAGTACTCCCTAGTTTTGAGCAAATGTACTTCTGTGTATGTGGGTGTGCACATATTAAGACTTGAACGATTTGCTTGATTGTCTTATAAATAGCTAGGTGGGGGTGGGGGGGGGGAGACG